TATTTTTTCATTTTTCATTTGATTTTCAGAATTGGAGGCTGTTGGGTCTTTCAATGAGAATTTTTCACTCATCAATGCTGTTTTATTTTTAGTTCCCAAATTTATATTATTTTATTTTTAAGGTTATGATTTTTTTGTACAATTTTTAGCTTTGTTTTGTTGCAGAAAATGAATTAGTTCAAACTTAAGTATTGGGGTATTTTTATTTTTATTTTATTGATAGAATTGAATTAGATCTTTAAAACCACGCTCTGCTACCACTTTTGTAGAGCAACAAGCTCACAAAGAATTTGGATAAAGTAAATGAATGAAAAAAAAAACAATCTGCCGGGGAACATGGCAGGAAGATTCTTGGCAGAATCTTTAAAGGTAAGAATAAATTGTATTTCAAATTTGATTTAACAGACAATACAAAATGGGGAATTCGCAAGTAGGAATATTTGCATAAGAACAGAATTTGAGCACAGGTAAAGTCTCTCTAAACATCCGAATGCCTTGAGCGCAAGGAACATAGTGATACCATTTGATACGCAAAAAAGACATTGGTTTTGTTGCGAGATTCACGGAAGCGGGGACTTCCAAAGGAATTCCCCATTGCCGCATTCCAATCATTCAGGTTTACAACTTATAATAATTGTGCGGTTTTTTTATTGGTTTTGTGGGACATGCCCTCTGTGCTCCACAAGACACAGACCTTTCCTGGACAATAGAATGAAAATTTTCAGACCCTTTGGGATTTAAACCACCCTTCATGAACCCAGAGCACACCACCAAAACAACTAGGCTACAAAGCCAACCTGATGTTTAAGGGTATAGTGCACTGCTATATTATACTGTCCCTCTCATACAATACAATAATTGTAATTTTTCAGTTGTATACTGTTATAGGTTCAATTTTTCTATAGGATTTCAAATTTCAATTTTCTTCTTTTTTCAAACATAAGGGTTATAGCTGAATAAGTTAGCCTTTGGTATTATTGGACTGAGTTATACCACTATAAATGTACCTGTGATTTAGCCCACAATTTTCTTTGGTTCTTTTCTGTGCTTCATTTTGACAAATGAAGCACAGTCCTGAACCCCAGAGCAGGCCTTACCCACTGACACTGAGGTCTTACCCACAGGATGGGGATGCAAATCCAAATCAAGTGCACACAATTTGATACACTTCAGGTCACCATCAGGGATGGACAGCTGCCAGAGGCCAGGCTGTGATAATGAAGAAATGAAGCACAGTCCTGAACCCCAGACCATACCTTACCCACTGACACTGAGGTCTACCCACTAGATGCAAAGCAAATTGAGTAAAGAAAATCTGATAGATTTCAGGTCACCATCAGGGATGGACAGCTGTCAGAGTTGAGGCTGTGATAGATGAAGCACAATGCCAAATTTGTATTGAATTGAAAATTCAGAATTTCAAAATCATTAATTTCTAAATGCTTTTTAAAACCATGATTAATATCAGTTTTTGAGGTTTTTTGCACCATGAAATTTTGCTGATTCCTGAATTTTGATTGTCAGAAAATATAATTATTTTTTGGATTGGAAAATTAAAAAAAATTGGAAGTAAATGTTTCAAATGATTCTCCATTTTCAGTTCACCTATAAATAATTCAAAAACCACGATTGCTGTGATTTTTTCAGGTTTAATGAGAAATAAAATCTTCTGATTCTTTTATTTTGGTTATTTGCAATTTTTCTATGGGATTTCAATTTAAAATTTTCCCTTTTTCTAGTTTCAATGTTTTTTATACCTTTGCTGAGCCATTTCTCTCTCTTTGCTGCTCTGTATATGCAGAGAAATGGCGCTGCTCTGTATATATATATGCTGCACCATTTCTCTGCGCTGCTCTGTATATACGCTCTGTCATTTCTCTGATCTGCTCTGAAATATGGTGCTCCATTTATCTCTGCACTGCTCTGTGTATATGATGCACCATTTCCCTGTGCTGCCCTGTAGATATACTGCCCCATTTCTCTGTGTTACTGCTCTGTATATGCAGAGAAATGGTGCAGCATATAGACAGAGCAGTGCAGAGAAATGGTGCTGCATATATACAGAGCAGCGCAGAGAAATGGCCCAGCTTATATGCAGAGCAGCGCAGAGAGAGAAATGGTGCAGCATATATACAGAGCAGCACAGAGAAATGGCACAGCATATATACAGAGCAGCACAGAGAAACGGTGCAGTATATATGGAGCAGCACAGACACATGGTGCAGTATATGCAGAAAAAAGTGCTGTATATACAGAGCTGTGCCATTTCTCTGTATATACTGCACCATTTCTTTGTTATGAAAGCCTGTCCAAAGTTTTTGCACCTGTGAAAAATCGATTGTACAGTTGTTGTACAAGTTTTTGCTTTGTGCAAAATGTGCACAATTGACAGCATGAAAAACTGCTTTTTTCATGCCAAAAAGTTAAAGTGACATGCACTGTACAGTATAATGCAGTGTGCGCCATTCTATATAGGGCATGTGCTGTGAATACAGTGTGTGCCATCCTATATATGGCAATATTTACCTGATGTGCGCTGTTCAAATGCACCACTCTGCTCTGTTTGTTCATGCCCTGCAATCCCTCATCCTGTGCCAGTCCTGGAAATTGTTCCCCAGCACATTCTGAGGATTTCAGCTTCCTCAAAAACAGCCATTCAATACGGGTGGGTTAGTGGTGATTTATGCCAGGATGGTAAACTGCTGATCAAAAATCACCATATTAAAAAAAAACACCAGTATCCAACCAGCCATGGAATGTGGGTAATTTATGCCTGTGTCTTTACAGGTTGCTGTAAAATGGCGGATTATCCACTGGGAAGGCTTGACATAGATGGAGGAAAAAAATCTTCAAAAAGAAGCCTGCAATCTAAACGTTCGAAATGCATCTGTTTTAAAACTGACCAGGTTCTGGTCCCATAACAGTTGCAAATTTGAAATTTATGAGAAAAAGGAAATGTATTTATTTTGGCAGAAATGTGTGTCTTGGGTGCACTAGAGATAGGGCAAGTGCATGGTCTGTGTTGTGAAACCCTACCAGGGGATGAATGAAGAACATATGCTGGAATGGTGCAGTTGCAAAATGTGACTTACAGTATTTTATTTTCCATTTGTCCCATAACTATCCTGTGAGGGGGTGAAATTCGTGGAACGACCGGGGTAACGGTACCCGGTAAACCACGCAGGTTGAAAACGAGGCAAGAAGGGCATCCAAAATCCTCTCTGGCGCCCTTCTGAGGTTGGGGTCTACCGCCAGTCTTGCCAACAATATTTCAGTAAAAAATGGCGCTCCAGGTGCCTCAAAAATCTGGGGAATTTTTGAAGCTTTCCCTGGGAGGCTTTCTGGGTGCTCTTAAACATGTGAAACAATCTGTACCTGAAAATTTGTAATTCCCTATCCCTCCACTTGTTCAAAGCAATTCTATTGGGTGGTCCCAGTTTTTATTTTTTACAACAAGAGGGTATTTTCCACACTTCCATATACAATACTGTGTTCACTTTACAACATGTGTATTTTCCTCCTGAGCTCTCAGTATCAATTGCTTAAGCCTCATGAACTTTGCTAAAATGTGAAGACTTTTCCAGACAGCATGAACTTCGCTGGTTAAAATTTTTGCATCCTCCTTTTCCTTAATTAAAAGCAATGTTCCCTTCTGTGATATTCTGTAATAAATACATCAGAAGCAAGAGTAGAGTTCCTTCTGATGAATTAAGCCGGGAAGTAGAAGTTTGGTAACTCTGCCGGTAGTTGGCCCCCATTGTTAAAAAAAAGGGTGGTCAACATTCCCGGACAGCTTAAGCCAGCTTAAACGTCTTGTGTCGCTTTCTCCTGGTTGATCTTCGGTACCCCTCAACAGCAATTCATCAATTGCTGTTGATGGCGAAGCTACTTGTTCTGCGAAAAATGAGTCGTCCAAGGACAACTGGCCTGGAAAAAGTGGCAACAACCTAGGGAGAAAACCCAGACATTCCTGGATCAGCGGGGCGATGAGACAGCCGGGCGCAGAACGTGTGAAAATAAACTCAATTCCCGCCTTATGAAGTTGGGGTGTATACTCGTTCTATACGAATTTTGAACTGAATTTAGAAGTTTCGTCAGCCGAATTTTACAGAACACGCACGGAAGTTTTACTGACAAGCAGGCTTTCCAATTGCTGCGGAATTCATTACTGTGCGTAAAGTACAGTACTTCAAATCCTGTTGACGATGCATGCAGTTTAGATGTCTCACTTGTGGCAGCCCGGTTCCGATTCAAAAAAGTTCGTGATCTATGAATTTTCTTCGTGATGAGGAACCGAATAAGGTTCGTTAATGAGTGGAAATTGATCAGACATTCCTATAATAAAATTCTGCATACCGGTACCCTGATGTTACGGGTTTTCAAGGTCATTTTACATGATCAATGTGCGCTCACCGAAGTGATGGATTTTGAAAGCCTCTGCGCAAGCGCCTGTGCTTCACGCCCTGTCCGCAAATTGCCGTCTTGTCCAATTTCGGAATTGCTGTTTATCACGAAGACCAATAGGCTGAGAAAGGTTCGATTATTCAATATTGATTTCAGTCACGTATTCACGAGAGAATTTCTGAACTACGTCAGTTTTTTCCGCGACTCGACGACTGTACTGAACATGTGTGAAAGAATGGAAGTTCTGGTTCAGATTGCGCGAGGAATAAGGTGCTGTTACATGTGAAGAGAATGGTAAAAATGCCGTATAATGGCTTAGAAGTAAAATTCTGCAATTTCAGGAGTTTTCAGAACTTGCAGTCTCATTATAAGGATTTTGATGAGCTCAGTTACCCATGCATATTTCTGGACATTCATATTGTGCTTTCGAACCTAATGATGTGGAGAAGAGTTTTTAATCCGCGAATTCTGCTGCTTGAAGCTTTGAAGTGTCTGTCCGGCGTATGAATAACAGTGATCGATTTTCAGAGAGTCTTTCATTTGCTTGTCTTTTTTATTCGAATTGTGGTCGTTCACAACAATCGTGTTCTTCCTTCAAGGTACTACATTTGCTAGTGTGTGAATTACTCACACCTGCGTAACCTGGTATTGAGAGCTTCGTCTGCATGGTTGTGCGCAGTTCGAAAATTCCCGGTGTGTCGTGAGAACGTGAGGAACTTCCGCTTCTTAATTTTTCGGTTTCATCTCGTGATTCTGATCGTTTGTTGGCGATTATTTTTGCTTGAGAAAGCTTCAGGAAATCAGTTGTGTCCCTTAACTCGGCATTGAACCCTTCAGAAATCAACGATCAGATTTCGTTTGTTTGAATTCTTGCGGAAAATCCGCAGCTCTTTGGAAGTCATTGAGATACTGTAACAGGAATCGACACCGAATATGGGCGACAGAAGTAAGTTTGTTGGGTCAATGTTTCTCTCTATGCACATTTATGTTCCGTTTGCTTTATTTTCAGTGATGATGGAATTAAGTGCTTTGGATTTGAAGAGTTACACTGCGCAAGAATTATCTGATGCCATGGCACGAGCTTTGTGTCACGTGCAACATTTGTCAGGTTTTGAACTCATCAAGCCCTTCGAAGGCGGCACCACCAAGTTTATCCACTTCCTTTTCAGCTTCGAAGAATTAATCGTGAAGGGTTTGAAATGTGGGGCCTTGAAATTCATGGTGTTGAAGAAATATCTGAGGGGAGAAGCATTGTACCTCGTCAAAAACATAGGTGTACATAAAGACGCATACAAGGATGCGTTAGAAATATTGAAGATAGAGTACGCATCACCGAGCAGAATAATCCGAGACGTGATGAAAAAGCTCGAAGATTTTCCCGCAATCAAGGTGTTCGATGAAAAAAAGTTGGATGACCTGAAATTCCTAGTACTTGGAATCGCAATGACCCTGAATCATTATGATATGACTGCAGATTTGAACTCATTCTTGCTAATGGCGCTGATCAAAGACAAATTACCTGCTGAGCTACACGTCGCATGGGATCCATTGATCCGGAAGATGCTGATACCCAAAAAGGAGAGATACATATTCTTGAGCCTGATATACCAAGACATAAAAAAAAAGCTCGCGAGGACTCCTGAAATCAGGATGTACGACCGCGTTGAGTTGAGGAACTTTTCGAATGTGATAGACTCAATTGCAAGGATTCTGAATGAGAATAACATGGGTTCAGATTATTTTCTACTCGAGTTCTTATGCGTATTGAAGTACCTGCCGGTTGATTTACGGTTGAAGTGGGTTCAGTCGATCCGTGAAAAGGAAACGCCCGTGAAACAAACCCAACTCGAGTCTTTCGCCGCGTTTTTGCATCAGATTATCCAAGATTGGCAGGCGGTCGATGTGGTAATCGACGAAAATAGAAAATTCGATGGATGTTCCGCGGATGAAACTGAATCAGAGCCCGAGGTTATTGCCGCTGAGGAAAAACGATGCCTAAACTGTAAACGGAACAATCATGTGTTGGAAGATTGCTTCTACTTTTTAGAGAAGTCTGCGAAAAGGCGTACCCAAAAAGCAATCAACTTGAACCTCTGCTTCAAGTGCCTCAAACAAGGACATACCAGCCGACGTTGCAAAGCAAAACTGGAATCGTGTGAGAGTTGCCATGAAAAGCATCACGCCTTACTTCATTGTTCTCGAGTACGACCGTATCTTCTGGCTGACAGCTGAGAGTCTCGAGATGAGCTGTTCGACGTGTCCAGCCGTAGAATGTGCCGTGTGATTTGCTCGACAGGTGTGTAAATTTCTGTACGAATCTTCGCTCGCTTGGTTAATATAATGTACGATGAGCCCATTTACTGGTAATTGTTATGTTTTTACTCGGTACTGCTAGTTAACAGCGTTTGGACAAACCCAAGAAACGCCCCTGCGGGTAGAAGAAGAAAACACACTCAGCACGGGAGTGGTAGATTTGTATCTCAATGAAATTTAGTTTGCTTGAGCAAAATTTCTAGATTCCCTGAAGTTGAAGCAACTCGGGAAGAGGAGCCCGAATCGTTGGTGGAAACACTTTCACTTCATCGAAACCTCGTGTTAATCTCTCCACGGTATCTGAAATTTCGTTACCAAATTTTTCCCAAGATCTGAATCAAATTAATTATCTAAATCAAATGAAAGTGGTTTGCTTCGAGGAAATGTCAAGATCACCTACAGTTGAATCACCTCGCTGATCTCGGGAAGACTAGGAAGAGTGACAAAAATCTTTCGTGGAAATGTTTAGTTTTAATCGAAACAGCGTTTCATATTTTTCTAAAGGTATTATAAGTTTCGTTGCATACATTTTGGAACAATATAATTCCTTCGTAATTTCATTATTGCGTCAATACTGTAGTAAGTTACGATTGCAAGACCTGGGAGGTTGGTGGAAGTGAAGTCTTTCTCCTGGCCGGAATAAAAGCAACATGCTGAAGAAAGTATGTGTATTTAACCCGCAATGAATACAGTATCATATTTTCTTAAGGTACAATCGTCTATAACTGGATTGTGTTTGTACATGATCAATGGAGTGCAATCGATTCAGGCTTTGCAATCATTGATGTGGAGACAATGTACTTACGCATGAGTGAGCAAGTCAAGTTTTTTGCCTAATGCACAGTACAGTGGTGAGGACAATTCTGGCTTTGTTACTTTTGTGTTCCTTGAAGTGTATATTTTGCTCAAGGCCGCCATTGTATTGCTTTGTTATGGAAATTTAGGGAGTGACTATATAAATGGAAATTCGAGTGATAGAGGTTTACTTGGCAAGGTTTTATTAAACAGGGCAGGCATCAAATGCAGGTATGAGACCACATGTAGCCATCCCACCATCCATGGTTGGCTGGATGGAAGTGCATTTTCTTGGTTATAGGAGATTCTCTGGTAGCCTCATGAACCAAAGAGGCATTACACCATCCATAGTACACCTGTAAAGTATGGCTGTGCAGATACAGCTGTTCTTCAGAAAGTACAAGAAAAATTCCTAGCCTGAACCAGGGAAATTTGCCAGAAATGTCCTGCACCAGGAAAACTACCCTTGACTCATTTTCGTGATGGGAGAATGCAGCTATGAAAATTTAGCACTTCGTTCAGCCAAGCTGTGCTGTCTACCAATGGCATGGCACTGTCTGAACCATGCCAATTCATGTGAAGCTATGCTCTGCCATCTGTAGAAGCCATGCCATCTACATCTACATGGCTGTACAAATTGTGAAGCAGAGGCTGCTGGGGTTTCCCAAGGAACAACATTTTTTTCAAAGTTCCAATTTTTTGTTTTTACAATAGTCAATTTTCAGTAATTTTCTGCTTGAAAAAATTAAAAAATTGTGCATGGAACCTCAGCATGCATCTGATTTTCTAACAAATTTTTAAAAATCGAATGTGCTTCCATATGAAAAAGTTTCAATGAGCTGCTGAAGATAAAAATAGGAATAATTTTACTACTTATACAGTTAGTTTTTAATTTCTGAATTCAACAATTTTGAACATATTTTCACAAACAAAAATCATAAATTATCTAAATTTTAAGGTAAACCAAATGTGTGTACAAATCAGTGAATTTAAACAGGAGAGAGGTATGTATGAAAATTTTAAAGATTTCCAAATATTTCAGTTCAACTAAATTTCAGAAGTACAGTAAAATCTTGTCACAACAAGCTCCCAGGGACCTGATGAAAAAGCTGTTATAATGAAGAAACCACCCATAAATCAAAAAAGCCCTGTAAAACATCTTCAGAAAATTTTTTCAGTTTCAACATTTGAATAGAAGGTAAAATTAGAATTCAGGGTGATCATGTCAAAGCAATTACTCCAGGTACCTCATAATTTGTCAGAATTTTAAAATATAATTTTTATTTTGATGACTTTGGATTAGGTTGGGGCAATCACAAAGGAATGTGCAATGGATTTTCCTTGATTGAAAAAAAAATATTCGAGAGTTGAATTGATCTGTAGGTCTAGCACAGGCCGTATTTTTTTGCACCCCTGATCTAGCCAGTGCCGGCGGGTGGCTAAAGCATTTCTGTGAATGGGTTGGGAATTCCAATTGCTGATGGCACATTCTTGGGTCACTGTAATTCATCCCTAGTTACTCATTGAAAAAAATTATCAGTAGTAAAAATGTTTCGTGGTGACGATGCAGTGATGTCTCTTGGATCAGGAACTCTGAAATTCAGAGTAACGAGATTCTAATCTGATGAAATCTAAATTTAGTACTTGTGAAATCTCTCTTGTCCTTATTTAGCCGTGGTTGGAACGAGGAATCCCTGACTCATGTTGCCTGCCCATTGTATACACCATAAGACAGAATTCTGCAAAGAATTACATATGATGTTGGACCAAGAGTCAACAAAAGGTTGTCAGAAGTGTACGCAAATTGAAACACAATCTCATCAGCTTTGGGGTTATTTGGCTGGGGAATTTGTTTGAAAAATACCAAAAAGATAAAAATGTTATGTACATCAGTACTGTATTACTATTTCCCCCTATCAAATGAATTTTCGTGGAAAAATGGTCTTTTGACTGAAAAAAAATTGCAGCTGCTCATCTCTGCAAAAGCTGAGTAATGTGCTCTCTGTGGGATGAAGTCTGTTTAACCCAATCATCTTAGATGTGTTTGTGCCTAAATGGCTAAAAAAATGATTAAATCGTTCGGAATAAATAATTATAAATTTTAGATGAACTCCCATCAAACAGTAGTTAATTTAGAATTTCCGGAGTCAATGTGGAATTATGTGTGATGTCACGATTGCTCGCCGTAATCGAAACAGCGTTTCATATTTTTCTGAAGATATTATAAGTTTCGTTGCATACATTTTGGAACTGCTGTATATAATTCCTTCGTAATATCATTATTGCGTCAATAGTAAGTTACGATTGCAAGACCTATGGAAGGTTGAGTGGAAATCATGTCTCTCTCCTGGCCGGAATAAAACCAACATGCTGAAGAAAGTTTGTGTATTTAACCTGCAATGTATACATTATCATATTTTTGTAAGGTACAATCGTCTGTAACGGGATTGTGTTGGTATATGATCAATGGAGTGTAATCGATTCAGGCTTCGCAATCATCGATGTGGAGCTGATGTACTTACGCATGAGTGAGCATTCCTCAAGTCAAGTTTTTTGCCTAATGCACAGTACAGTGGTGAGGACAATTCTGGCTTTGTTACTTTTGTGTTCCTTAAAGTGTATATTTTGCTCAAGGCCGCCATTGTATTGCTTTGTTATGGAAATTTAGGGAGTGACTATATAAATGGAAATTCGAGTGGTAGATGTTTACTTAGTAAGGTTTTATTAAACAGGGCAGGTATCAAATGCAGGTATGAGACCACATGTAGCCATCCCACCATCCATGGTTGGCTGGATGAAAGTGCATTTTCTTGGTTATAGGAGATTCTCTGATGGTAGCCTCATGAACCAAAGAGGCATTACACCATCCATAGTACACCTGTAAAGTATGGCTGTGCACATACAGCTGTTCTTCAGAAAGTACAAGAAAATTTCTAGCCTGAACCAGGGAAATTTGCCAGAAATGTCCTGCACCAGGAAAACCACCCTTGACTCATTTTCCTGATAGGAGAATGCAGCTGTGAAAATTTAGGACTTTGTACAGCCAAGCTGTGCTGTGTATAGATGGCATGGCATTGTCCAAAACATGTCAATTCATGTGAAGCTATGCTCTGTCATCTGTAGAAACCATGCTATCTACATCTACATGGCTGTGAAAATTGTGAAGCAGAGGTTGCTGCAGGTTCCTAAGGAACAATATTTTTTTGAAGTTCAAATTTTTTGTTTTTAACATGGTCAATTTTCAGTATTTTTCAACTTGAAAAAAATACAAAAATTGTAGAACTTCAGCATGCATCTGAAACTAATTTTTAAAAATTGAATGTGCTTCCATATGAAAAAGTTACAATGAGCTGATGATATGAATAGGAAAAATTTTACTAGTTATACATATGGGTTTTAATTTCTGAATTCAACAATTTTGAACATATTTTTACGAACGAACAACAAAAAATGATATGAATTTCAAGGTACACCAAATGTGCGTATGAATCAATGAATTTAAAAAGGAGAAAGGTATGTAAAAAAAATTTCAAGGATTTCCGAATTTTTCAGTTCAACTTAATTTCAGAAGTACAGTAAAATCTTATCACAACAAACTCCATGGGACCTGATTTTTTATAATGAAGGAAACCACCCATAAATCAAAAGAGCCCTGTAAAACATCTTCAGATAATTTTTTCAGTTTCAACATTTGAATAACAGGTAAAATTAGAATTCAGGGTAGCAAAAGCTTAGTTGCATTATCTTAGTTCATTTTCATGTTATGTCCATGGTGATCATGTCAAAGCAATTGCTCCAGGTACCTCATAATTTGTCAGAATTTTAAAATATAATTTTTATTTTGATGACTTTGGATTAGGTTGGGGCAAACACAAAGGAATGTGCAATGGATTTTCCTTGATTGAAAAAAAAATATTCAAGAGTTGAATTGATCTGTAGGTCTAGCACAGGCCGTGTTTTTTTGCACCCCTGATCTAGCCAGTGCCGGCGGGTGGCTAAAGCATTTCTGTGAATGGGTTGGGAATTCCAGTTGCTGATGGCACATTCTTGGGTCACTGTAATTCATCCCTAGTTTCTCATTAAAAAAAATTATCAGTAGTAAAAATGTGCCGTGGTGACGATGC